TGCCACGTCTGTGTTTGTATATACTCTTTAGAAGATGCGTGTAAACTTAAAACCCACAAGAGACTGGCAACAACTTTTCCTTGAGGAGGGTGAGTTGAGAAAGTTTACCTTATGCATCAGATTAGAGAAAGTAGACTCCTTATTCACCTTCAGATTAGAAAGGTAAAATAATCATTGGTTCTTTGGAATTGGATATGATTGCCCAATAATTGGAAAGAGCATGAAAGAAAAAAGCAGATAAATAGAGTGAGAGGTGGGATGGCACTACGCTTTGTTCGAGTTTATAGGATTCCATCAAATGGAAGGGATGTGATTGGGAATTGAATTGGTTTGGTTTAAGGACACCATCACAGTGCTACTCATGGGCAACCAGGAGATGACATGGGTGCCCAGGGCCCTGCCTACCTCAGATGAAAATTCCAGCTACAACCTTGCCCGCAAGGAAAGACAGTGCTTCAGCCAGCTGCAGCCAAGCTGAGTGGTCCCATTTTAGGGGCAGAGGCCACTGGGTTTGCCTGCAAGATGGCACTGCTCAGAAGTGCTGCTGGGTCCTTCCTGGGAATAGATCCTTACCCACCAGCATCAGAAATCAGCAGCAAACATCTGGGCCAAATATCTGGGCTTCCATTCTAAACTCCACCATCTTTCTTATGAGCCTGAGGCGTTTTTAGGTGTCCTGTGACTTTAAAATTATTTAATGATCTTCACACAGCTCATATTAAAGAAATAGCTCTTTGAAGTTCACCTCTTAAACCTTCAAAACTTGTCTTTATAATCTAGGGACTTTGGATTGGTAAATTTCTATGATGACCTATGCAGAGAATTTCCCAAATTTATTCTTTCCTCTTGTTATCACTGAAGGCCACTTTCTATGTTCTTGTATATACGTAGTATAGTTTCAACTTGGTGAGATTTATAGGACCTATAACTGCCAATAAAGCAATGATAATTAACTGTGAATTTACTCTTGCACTTGTAAAAGAGAACGAGTATATTTTTTTTACTTTGAAAGGAATTTCACTTTCCTAATGACTTTGGCTAGCAGCTATATGCAGTACTACAAAAAGTATTCTTACCTGCATCGATTGGGCATCCCTTGCTTTCTGTCATCATGCTTAAAATTAGGAAGACACAGTAAGGATTCTACCCAGCCTAACCGATGGGGCAAAGGAAACCTGACTGTTTATACCTACTCTGGAGAACTTCTGAACATCCCATGAGGTCTCATGATTAGGTCTGCGTTGGAATGTCCAGTTCGGCCTTCAGGATCTTTAATTACTGATCTGTTTCTTTTTTGAAGTGCTACGTTTAGGTACTAAGTCCTTATCAACTTATTCCCGGGGAAGGCTTTGTGTCTGCGATGTCGCTGAGTGACTCCGCTGCTCTTGGCGTCTCTAACCGGGGGACTCTGCGCTCACACCCACATTCTCCTGGGGAGGCCAGAGTTCTCTCTGAGATCACTGTGGCAAGGGCTGGAGCACTTTGAAAGCCCTACCTCATGGGAACAGCTTCTTCACTGGAAGAATTATGAATAAGATCATCGACTAGACTTTCTCTCTCACCCAAGGTATTGCTGTTTGAATATTTCATGTTAAGTATCATCTTGAGTACACAAACACCCAAGGCCTTGAGGAAATGTTGACATACAGTACTGGTGCGGTGGGGGCGGGGGGAGGGCAGCCAAGTTATTTACCCAGCTCACTGGGACCCCTCAGAGTATGGCTGCCATTCTGTAGTAAATTTGTGCACGAAAGTGTATCACCTTATTGTGGATCTAAAATTAAATCCTTCAAACGTCTGGCTCTCAGAGTATCTGCAGGAGAAGGGCCAGAGCCAGGAGTAAGGAGTCTTAAAATTTGCAAGCCTCTTTGTACTTCTGGAGGCTCTTGGACAGCCCAGATACCTATTGATGCGGTAATACTTTTTCAATTCCTACAGTCAGGATCAGATAGAATATTGTTATACCAGCAGCTGTCAGTCAACAAACCTCTCTTATGGGTAAGGTGAATCGAAGACCATGACCACACTAGGAATGACTATTAAGCGTCTCCACAGCAAAAGGAGGCATCCATCACCCATGATGCTGGCCTTTTGGTAAGAAGCAGGGCATATGGAGAAGCAGTGCTGGCCAGAGTGAGAACTGTAGACTGATGAGCAGTCGCTGATCCCTGGCAGCGTTCTGCTTTATCTCAAGGGGAGAGCCAAGCTTCGGCTCTTGGAAGAACTGCTCTCTCCACTTGCAAGCAGAGGCAGGGCACACAGGAGAGGCCCCGGGAGGCTGGGAATGTGCTCGGGCAAACGTGAAACTCAAGCTTTGAAAGCTAAGCCCCAAATCCAAATATGCTGTTACGCAAAGTGTTCGCAGATTGGCTGGCGTTTTATTATCGTATGAGGTTACTTGTTGGCATGTGCTGAATAATTCCCTGGCATGCCCATGGCTCGTCAGTGGCATTCCTTCCTGAGTCACCACTGGACCAACAGCCTGGCTCAGGGAGCAGGGACCAGAGCTGTCCAAGAGGCTATCTTTTCAATGAAACTTAAAGCCCACAGTCCTGATTTGCTGACGTGACCTTGCCTGCTTTTCCAACTTCAAGGATGAGCTGGTAGGCTCTTCCCATGAGTGTTTGACAGACTTGAGGAAACATTTTGGGGGTTGCACATAACTGTTGAAGTGAGGAATATTTGTCTGTCATCAGCTGGATGAGAAAATTTTAAATCCTGGCCAGGACTTTGGAGGCCCAGGGAGATGGCATCTCTCGCGGGAGCAACATTAGGCCAATTACAAGGCTCAGCATTTTCCTGACACTGTAGGTTCAGAGCTCTTTGCGATCCGTTTGTTTCTTTAGCTGAGTTTCTTAAACACACACCACCCCTTGTGGAGCTGTCTGGGCCTCCACCCAAAAGCTAAAGGATACAAAGAGGAAGAAGAAAAGAGAGCAGCCGGCTCTACCCAAAGAGAGAAACAAAGCCAAGCATTTCAGCGTTTCATTATTCTCCAAAAGCCTGTCAATACTTACAATGGGGGAAAACTGAGAACAGCCAAAATGTGCAGCAATGCAAAGTTGGCCACATACAATATGGAAAAAGAAGCAGTCATTAAAATCGTGCTGTAGATTGTAGAAGAAACTTTAATGACATGGAAACATACACACAATATACTGTTAAACGGAGCTAATTATAAGACAGCATGGACAAATGTGATTCCATTTTGTAAATATGTGTGTTTCTATGTTATATACACATATAGAAAAAGGACTGAAATGTTGTAAATTAAAATGTCAATAGCGGTATTTCTATGTTGGGTGGAGGTATAAGTGATTTTTCTTTTCTTTCTCTCCAAATTGTCTACAGTAAACATGTCTTAGGGGCCCCTGGGTAGCTCAGTTGATTGAGATTCTGATTCTTGCCTTTGGCTCAGGTCATGATCCCAGGGTCTCAGGAAGGAGCCCTGTGTCAGGTTCCACGCTAGGCATGGAACGTACTTAGGATTGTCTCACTCCCTCTCTCTCTCTCTCTGCCCTTCCCCTGCTTACTCTCGCTCTCTCTAAAATTAATTTTTAAAAAAGGTTTCTGTTTTGTTTATATCTTTATTATTATTTTTTTGATTATCAAACGAAACTTGCTCATAGTATAAGTTTCTAACAATACAGAAATGTGTAACATGTAAAGTAAAATTTCTCTTAATCCTGCCCAACAGATGATCCTTGCATATACACATCTGTATTGTTTTAATTATTCTTGAATATTTATTCAACAGAATTATTTCTAGTTCTTCAATCTGTCTTTTTTCACTTAAAATATCTGGGACATCTTCCCAGGTATGTATTTCTTTTTCCTTCCTTCCTTCCTTCCTTCCTTCCTTCCTTCCTTCCTTCCTTCCTTCCTTCCTTCTTTTCTTTCTTCCTCTCTCTCTCTCTCTCCCTCTCTCTCTCTCTCCCTCTCTCTCCTTGAGCCCATCAACTGGGGCCCTGGCAGACCAGAGGGATTGGGAGCTACAGTCACAAGCCAACCAGAGTGAGGGTGTCTGCCCTCCTGCTGCAGACAGGCAGAGGGATGTCGGGGCACTGGCTATCAGAGCTGAAAGGGATGTTGAAGGGGATTTAGTTTAATGCACCCACTGAATGATGAGAGATGAAGGTCCAGAGACCAGAATCTAAGTCTTTTAATTCAATGCTGATGATTGTTTTTACTACACCACACTGCCAAGTAGAGAATAGATATTATTAAGTACTTTTCAAAGAGCCCTCATCTTGCTAACATTTTGCTGCAGCCTTAGTGTCCCTTGAGGGATCTGGGGAGGCTATCTCTCTCATTTCACAGATGGTAACACCAGAGAACACTTGGTGGGCGAAGGTATCTGCCTGCACGATCTCATACAGTTCTCGCATGATTTTTCTGAGGTTGGTCCTACTATTTTATAGTAACACCCATTTTATAGACGAAAAAATGAAGACCCAGCAAGATTGAGTCACTTGTCACGAGTGCCACAGCTAAGGCATGGTGGAGCCAAGGCTTGAACCTATGTCTCTCCCCAGACCCCTTACTTTCAAACATTACACTGTTTCTCTCGGGTTTAGCACATAAAGTCCTCACATAAGACAAATTTGAATTACTCTTTCCCTTTCCCATTTGCTGTTTTCCAGTACTTCTCAAACAAAGTAACACAGGAATGACATTAGCCAATGCAATTTTGGTGTCAGGCAGGGTTCAGGGGCCCCACTCAGTGTTCAGGATTCTGTGCCAAGCACTGGGGTAAAAACAAAACAAAACAATACACCCTGTCCAACCACAGCTATTCTCGCAGTTGGCAAAGGAGTCGCCTGGCACCCTTCCCCTAGGGATTCTGCATGTCCCCTGGAAGGCGGTAGACTGCTTGCTCCCCAGGTATTTTTGTTTCTTATGTAATTGTGCACTCGTTTCAACTCAGCCTACACGTTTGCACTTGCAGGTAAAGCCGATCTTTCTTTCAGTCAGACACACAATACACACTGAGTCATGTGTAGAAAGCCTGTACAATGTTTTTATTGTGAACAGAGCCCCAAGGGCCTCGTCTTACAATCCTCACGTGTGCGTCATCCCCACAGAGAGGGGTCTGCCTGTGGCCATCTGCACGGAGCCCTGGGAGGCTTAGGGCGAGAGGCGACCTGTCACCTTGCACACCCAACGCTGGTCTTCCAGGAGCTGGTGGTCTTGGACTTTCGTGGGCATTTATACCACAGCTTTTTTCACAATTTGTTCACCTTCTTCTCTTTCTGTCCACTTTTATTGTCCCCTTTCCTCTGTCCCCATGGTTCTGTTAAAACTTTCTGCCTTGTCTATTTTCTGAGTTGCTTCCTCTTCTTGTGCCCTGTAAAGCTGTGTTAGCTCCTATTGCTCCGTAAAGCACGGAGGCTGTCCCCTTTCTCTTTCTTCCACGCTCCCCAGAGGCTCTTCTGTGTTCCCACCCCAACCTCACATGTCACCTCACCTCTATTCTCTGTCACCAGCCTCTCTGTTGCTGTTATATCCATTCTCGACAAACAGGCTGGGGGTGCCCTCCTGAACATGGAGATTCCGTGTGGTAAAACGATTCAGTGTGGGGGCCCAGGGGCCCGGCTGCTTGGGCAAACTCCAGGAAGCCATCTAGCATCTCTAAATCTCCTGTTGTCTGCAAGTCAAATGGGATAATGAAAGTCCTTACTTCTTAGAATTGTTACAAACCCCACATTAAGTTGCATAACTCCAGGGTTTGGTTTCCAGACCGATATGCCTTACTAGTTCAGTGATCTTGGCCAAGACACTGAGCTTCTCTCTGCCTCACCGTCCTTCTAACATGAGAGTGCTAATATTACGACCTACCCTATTGGTATACTGGGAAGATTAGTTAATAAACATAAAAATGCCTGGGATAGTGTCCAGCACACAGGAGCCTTCCCCAAAGTTGTTCATCCTGATACTTATTCATGGATGTGAAATGCCTCAGATGGCTGTCTAGAATAGCTGGAGACTCTGAAGAGGTGGGTTACCCATCTGCCAGAAATGTTCATTCCTCTTGCCCTCTGTTCTTTGGCTGCCCATCTCCTGGGACACCTGATCATGACATTCTGCTCACACTCTGCTTTCATAAAGGCTTTTCTCTGCCTTCAGCACCAAATGAAAACCAAGCTTTGGAGAAGCCCGACCAGTAAACATACAACTGAAGAACTGAAAAAAGGGAATAATACTGCAGGTTTTCTCTTATTGTCTACTTTGATTTTCTGTCATTTTAATCAGTGGAACATGTCCTCTTCCTCAATAGTTTGATAAAAACACCCTTTGCAAATCACATCATTCTTCATTTCTCTCCTTAAGTGAGAAAATGTGTATAAAGAACTTATAGCAGGGTTTGGGACTCCATAAATTGTAACTCTTATTTGTTTTATCCTTTTGAGTCTAATCTAGCCACATCATAGAATACTCAGAAGAAAAAGGAAAAAGGGAAGAACTCTCCTAAGGTAACCACCTATGGTCATTTTGTACTCTCAAATTTAAATGCACTATGAGAACTCACATTTTAAGGAAACTCTACTGGGACGCCTGGTTGGCTCAGTCGGTTGAGCATCTAACCTTTGATTTCCACTCAGGTCCTGATCCCAGGATCGTGGGACTGAGCCCTGCATCAGGCTCCATATGGAGGCTGCTTAAGATTCTCTTGCTCTCGCCAGCTCATAAGCTCTCTCTCGAAAGAAAAAATAATAATAAAAATAAATAAAGTGATTCTACTGAGAATAATTTCAGAAAGTGAAGTTTGTTTCTGATATGAATTAGACCCTTCAAGATTGCAGAATAAGGATGTAGCTGCTTGGTAATATGAGGAAGTTCATATTGAGTATCATCTCCTTAAGTCATATTCAGGTCAGAACATTCTTAGTGTCCCTTTGAAGATATCCTGGACACCAGTGTCCCGTCTGTTTATATTTTCCGAGAGAGAAACCGTAGGATTCATTTGTCATCAACCGACTCAAAGAATAGAATGTACCACCAGGTCACATCTGAAGTACATGACTTCACTTTTCTCAGAGGTGAGCCAAGGTTGTGGGATATTGATAATACTTAGATGAAGGTTAAGGCCCAGGGATCCCCCCCCACCCCTTTTTTTTTTTTTTTGGTAAAAACAACAGTCACCTTGGTGTACCTTCTGTGGAAACTCATCTTTTCAAACAGGGAGTTCCTTTGAGGTGTGGTGTATGGGAATAGCTCTTCTGATTAGCAGAGCCTTTATATTCTGTGCCTTCACTTCCCCTCCCCCGTCCACATGAAAATATTTCTCACATAACGCCACTTAAAGCTTTTCTTTCACAGCAAGAAAGAGTATGAATCTAAGAAAACCTTTCAATTTGGAGAAATAATTGAAACTCCTTAGAGTATAATGTCCTAACGGGCAAGAGAACTTTACAACAGCAATAAAATTGTCAGCTTTTAATAATAAGCTGCGTTTTCCTGGCATTTTGTCATTTGTAAAGCATTTTTTAACAGTCATTATAATTACTCATTTGTTTACTTATTCTTTCAACGCCAGGACCACACAATGACTTTTGTGGGCCCTAGGCACTTCTGCCTTTTTAGGACCTTCCCCCGTTAAAAAACAAACAAACAGACATGAAAATAGTTTAATAGATTTTGTGGCCCTAAATATCCTTCATTTTTCTGATGGGTAGAAAAAAATTAAAACAAGTTCTATTCTAGGGGCACCTGGCTGGCTCAGTCGGTGGAGTGCCAGACTCTTAATCTCAGGGTTGTGAATTGGAGCCTCACAGTGGGTGTGGAGATTACTTAAAAATAAAACCTTCTAAAAATAAGTAAGTAAATAAAACAAGTTCTATTCTAACAGTCCTGTCTTTTTTTTCTGATTTTAAGAAAAATTAAACATTTTCATGGTCCCCTAAAAAATTCTATGGACCCTGAGCCTACCATGCTTAATGGATAAACCAACCCTGCCCCTCAGCCTGTGCTAGATGTGGGCTGGGGGTTAGAGATACAAAGGTGAACGTATGTGGCTCCCATCCTAAGGAGCGCACCAGCCTCGGGGAAGCAGACCCCCAAACAAACCAGTGTGACTGACACCCTACAATCAGGGCTACCAGTGAGGCTGTTAGCGCGTCCCCCAAGAGCACAGAGGGTCAGTTCCTAACGTGGCATGGAGCGGGAACACAACTTTGTGCAGCAAGCAGAGCCTGAATGGCTCTTTAAGATAAGATGTTTCAGCAATTTTGTGCTTAAGGCCCAGTTTCAAATTTTAGAATTTTTGGCAGGCCACTTGAGGAACTGAGAAGTAAACACTGGGCCAAAGCAGCAAGTTTCACAGAATTGTAGAAACTTGCCATTAATCTCAGTATATGGTGATAGAACATGATTTTATCTTCTGATCAATCCTTAAGATTTAATTTTGCCACCACTGTGGGTGCATACCATTCCCTCAGTGTTAGCCAACAGTGTCAGGCTGAGCGGGTCCTGTGGCGCTAGATGGAGGAGGACCCAGAGAGTGCGCGCTGGGAGGATCAGGGCATCTAGTTGGTTCCAGGGGGAGACCACATGCTCAATGGAGGGTGAAAAACCTTTGCTTTCTGATTATATAAAAGACTGTAGTCAGGACAGAAAATAATTCTTCCTAGCATGGGGGGTGGGGAGGGCGGGTAACCAAGGTGATAACATTTAGCCTCATTTATAAAAAAATTTGTATTTTAGACATCAATCAAGTTTGGCAAATTTTGTCAAATCAAATTTGACAGTTAGTTGCAAAGTGTTCAAGATACACCAGCTGCCAAGCTACAGTGTGGAAAGCTACTATTATTGGATAATAATAGCAAACACTTACAATGTCCCAGGGACCATTCTGAGAGTCTTGTTTGGTTTTCAATCTTCATAATAATCCTATATCGTATTAGTATTATCCCCATTTTAAACATAAGGAGACTGAGGCACAGAGCCTTTAAATGACCTGCCTTAGTAACTGGCAGAGCTGAGATTTGAGCGCAGGCATTCTTGGCTCCAAGATCTGTGCTGTCAGTCACTGCACGTCACCACCTGTATGGATGCCCACATCCTCCACTGTGTGGTATCAGGCCGCTGTTACTAGATCAGCCTCACACGGAACCAGCTTCACAGCACCTCACGGAAGGCTTCTTACCTGACCATACAGAATGGAATGGGCATCCGCTCACCCCACGTGAACAACACAGAAGGCCTTTGAGAAGTTACAGTCCACGGGGAACATTGACTTTGCCAAATAGAGAATGGGGACAAATGGCTCAATCCCAAGACAGACTGCATAGAGCTTCTCCGACCATCCTACAGGAACAAGCAGCCTGTCACTAGTAACAGTGGTTGCCATCTAAAGAATAGGGGGTTCTGTTCACTGCATTTCAGATAAATGACAAATAATTTCATTTGTTTATGATAAGTTACGTCCCATATATTGCATGGCACATACTTATTACAAAGGGTTCTTTGTTGTTTCTCTAGAATTCAAAGTTAAATGGGTGTTTGGTATTTTTATTTGCTAAATATGAAGTCCATAAGCAGTAGCCAACTTAACACACATGTTCATACGGGCCACGGGCCCTGATTCCTCCCTCCACAGTTCCTCCATCTCTCACAGTTCCCTGGGATCCCATGACCATAAAGAACTTGCATGTGAGACTTTGTCTCAGCTCCAGCTTTCTGGGAACCCAGACTACAAACCACCTGGGCAAAGATTTTGCCAGGAGATGAGGTAGCCATAATACTTACAATCACCCCGTAAGACAGGCATTGTTACCACCATCATAGCACCCAGGTTACAAATAAGGAAACTGAGGTTCGGGAAGGTTTGTCCATTTCCCAGGATTCACCCTCAGCTGCTCTAGATCCACCAGCCTCTTACTAGAGAAGAGCTCTCCAGATTCTTTTGGAGAGCCACTGAAACATTATTGAAATGAACATTAATTGGTTTAGATAACCATTGACTCATTTGTTAATGAACTCCATTTGTTGAAAGAAACTCCCGTGGCCTCGCACAGTCAAAGGGATGAAGTAACACACGCACTGAGAGAATCAGTCTCAAAGCAGCCATAACATCAAGATGCCCAACTTCTCCTGCTTCATGCTAGTTGAAATGATCGAAGTGAAAACATGAAATTTTCAACCTCAGCTCTTCACAATAAAAGTAGCAGCATATTTTTATTTCCAGGTATAACTATCATGTGTTCATTCTAAAAGTGAGGACTGATTGCAAAGAGAGAATTCCAGCAAACCTTGAAATTATACTTGCCTTTAATTTGCATCAGAAATCTGGTTTTCTTTCCCAGTAGCCTTCTAATAAGCCCAGTAGCCATATAATCATTTGGAACAATTAGAGAAAAATAACAACGTTAGAGAAAACCTGTGCCAAAGAACTTGTACCTAGTGGGTTTACACAGAAATGAAACCTCCTTGCAAACTTTCAAAGGTGAAGCCAAACCTTGGTAGCACATAAGCCCAAAATGAGAAGGAGCGTTTCTTTTCTACATACACTCTATGAAATGGAACCCCTTTCTTGCTCCTCTCTGTCTGCTGGGATCTTCGTTAGGTAGGAACAGAGTTTACAGGAATGAACCATCTTGCGGAGGTGAGAAAATCTCCCCCTGCTGTGGCTGGATTTGCTCCTGGAATGGGCGCCCCCTGTAGCTCTCCAGTAAGGCTTGTTTTTACCGCCCAGAGAAGCAGGTGGATTGGATGGCTGGCTTCGGTGACCTATGGTTTCCTGCCCAGTCCCCTGGGCATTGCAAGGCCCCACCTTCCACCTGGCCCATGACCTCTGACCCTGGCCCTGTGGCCAACATGAAAGTGGGGGCGGTAGGGGGAGGATAGATATCACACTGCTAGGGCCCACAGATGAAAGATTCACTTGTTTCCATTCCTCAAGCTCCCTTGTGAGGTCCTGGGAGTTGCAGAACTGGTATTTCTCCAAATCCTGGCAGCTCACATAGCTGTGTAGACAAGCTGTCCTGACAGTTGTACATATGTATATGTGGTGCATGGGTGGCGGCAGCCTGGCTTCCGGTCCCAGCTCTGCCATCGACTTGCTCTGGGACTTCAAGGAGCCACCTTTGCCTCTCAGGAGCCTCATTTCCCTCATCTGTGAAACGGGACGGTTGGATTCCTATAGGTGCTTGGGAAGGGGTGGAGAGTGAGGTGCAGGACAGGGGGCTGCTGAGTAGGCAAGTCCCAGGGATCTACCTGCTCACCACCCTCCCCGCCACCCCCCCAGTGAACTAAAATAATCTCACTTTTATCTGTCTTATATTATGTACATGTACATAAGACTTTCTTTGAGAAAAAGGGTTCCATTGCTTCTAAAAACCAATAGAGTAGGCTATTCCTAAGTGACCTTCCAAATGGATTATTCTATGATTCCACGATTCCCAAACAAAAGTTCAGACTTCACTTATTTAAAGGGTTGCGTGCTACTTGGGAGGTTGAGAAATGATGATATGTGATGATATGTTTCTGTTACTTAAGACTCTTCTGCGGCCTCCCCAAGGGGACCTATAAAGTTTCCAGAGCCCGAGCCCCCTCCCTTGTTACACCTGATAAAGGCTCACATGTTAATTATTTAGCCACTGGTGCTGACTGGAACATAGTTGTATAATGAAACTGCCTTGAAAACATTTCCGCGTGTAACACACAGCTCTTGCAATTTAAACATATTTTGTCTTCTTTCCTATCAGCAGTTATTTTATGGACTGGGCTTAGCCGGTTTAGCAACAAAGGGCACTGGATTGGTGAATTATTCATGTAATCTACATTTCCTGGCTGCTGTTGATAATTGACAGGTGTCATGTCACCTTTCACAAACGTCCCGCAATTAGGGACTATATATCAGTATTTGACTTCGAAGTAAAGCTCCCTTTCCAAGCCAGTTTCATATTTTATTTACAGCTTGGTGGCGTTTTTGACTTGGCTGCCTATTTCTCTCACTTTCCATTCCAAGCCTTTTGCTCCACTTAATATAACCAGGAACATTTAAATAATAAGACTCCCTCTCAGTTTGCTAAAGGCATTCACTCATTGCTGCCGTGTTTTATTCATTCAGCCATTATGTTAGTCAATTTCTTGATTTAAGAAACCTAGGATAAAATGCAGCTGTAAGGAAACCATGATATAAATCTGTTTTTATGACTTGTTTGGTTCACAGGGAAAAAACTAAAAGCAAATCTTCCCGAGGTCTGACACAAGTTGTAAACTGTGGGGAAAGTTAGCTAGTTAAAAAATATGATTTACTTAATAGGAGCAATGGAACATTTCAGATCTCTACCAGAGCTGGAAGTTTGCTAGCATCAGGAATAAAGCCAAGATGAGTTCTATTTAGGCCCAGTGAGAAAATTCCGCTATGAAAATAAACCTGGAATTGATAACCCTGAAGACTAATGAGAGGACACAGCCATAAATTAAACACGTTGAGTGCAATGGAACCTTCGAAATTCTCTAGTCCTACCCTTCCACTTTACCTAACAAGAAACTGAGGCCTAGGGCATGCAAAGGGTCGCCTGCCATCCCAACCCTAGTTTGTGGAAAAGCTAAAAACTGGGTCGGCTCATTCCTATTCCAGCACTTTTACTGTCCTGCAAGGCCACGGATCGGTTTTGTTCCCTCGCCAGTACCCACTCACCTTTTCTGCTGCCGACAGTTACTTGCTGTTCCTTGGGAGAAGTCACCTCATTTTCACTTGGGTGATTTGTCTGGAATTCTCTCGGGCCTACTCTAGGTGTGAGCACGATTGACTAAGTCCATCGGTGAATCCGTGTTCCCAAATGGATGTTTCAGCAACGGCCATGTGACCTAAATCAGACCAGGGAGAGGCAGCGGACCCCAGCACTTGCATAGGCTACTGGAAGAGATTTTCTGTCCCACTCGATTGGGTGTTGCGAGGTTATGGAGTCTGCAGCTTTTACAGATCTTGTGCTCCCTGCATGGAAGAGGCTGGAGCTCCAGGCACTGGGTGGGGAAATGTGTCATGTGATACCTGAGGGTGAATCCTGCAACACAAAAAAACTGAGCAGAGAGAGCAAACCATGGTTATGTAAACATATCATTTATCTTCTAAACGAGGGCAATTTTGAGAATGAAACCGGTCAAGGCAAACGCGAAACCAGGTAGGATGCGTAAATAGGACTATTCTGGACAAACAGGAACATATGGTCCTCCTGCTGTCCAATGGCACCATCTGAACTGCGGGGTTGAGCCCGGCCCCTGGATTCAGCTAGCTGAACTAAGCTGGCACTCTCTTTGGCCTTTTTAGTTTAGGTGACAGTGAACTCACTTCACTGTTGTACCCATTTGGAGTTCGGAGTTTTGTAACTTGGACATAATAGCTTTAACTGACACAAACGGGCTGTTCCTAATTGTTTTGCTTTTTGAAATCTTGTCCTACATCATATTTGAAGTTTGCAATCAAAGGTAAGAATTACATGCTTCAATTTTAATAAATTTTAAAACTTCGTATTTAACATTTTACTTCAAATAATAAAAACTAACACTTGTAGAAACTTTACGGTTTACAGAGGACTTCCAAGTTAACTGTCTTATTTGCACTAACCCCTCTGTGAAATAAGTATCACCCAAGGTCCACATGGCTCATGTGGTGTATATGCAATGGTGACTTTGGGCAGGGGAAAACACCCACCACACTGAGTTTTATTGCTTGCCAATTTCCTTTTCTCTTCTTTTTTAATGTTTGTTTGTTTTTGAGAGAGCGCACACAAGCAGGAGAGGGGCAGAGAGAGAGGGTGACAGAGAATCTGAAGCAGGCTCTGTGCTGACAGTGATGTGGGGTTCAATCTCCAACTGCCAGATCAGCCCAAGTCAGACGCTTAACCGACTGGGCCATCTAGGTATCCCTACTGTTTGCCAGTTTTTATGGTGTGAATATTCCAAGAATGGCCAGTTTCAAGGCATCAACCTGACATCACTGAATGTGGAGTTGGGAACAGAGGCATTGGCTCTGGAGAGCCGACTCCGTTACTCCACTGCATGGAACATGACTCGAAGATTTCCAACTCCATTTCTTTTTTTTTTTTTTAAGTTTTTAAATGTTTATCATTTATTTTTGAGAGACAGAGATAGACAGAGCATGAGCAGGGGAGGGGCAGAGAGAGAGAGAGATACAGAATCAGAAGCAAGCTCCAGGCTCTGAGCTGTCAGCACAGAGTCCATGGCAAGCTCGAACTCTGGAACTGCAAGATCATGACCTGAGCCAGGCACTAAGTTGGACGCTTAACCGACTGAGCCACCCAGGCACCCCACCATTTCTTAAATGTATCCCATTTTTCTCTTCCAGGTGTTTGGTGTGAGGTGGTCGGTTCTGAATTGTGGCCTCGTAACAATGGCAGATGTGCCTCAGAGCCAGTGGTGTTACAAGCCTTCAAAAGAGATTCCCCAGAGCAGAACTGCAATGGCAAACCCACTCCAGACCTTGTATTTCCGGAGCCTGTCTGCCCGGATGCCCGCCCTCAGCATGAACCTTCTCTGGGACTTCAGTATTTGCTGTGCTCCCCACTTGGATGTGGCTACTTGCCTGACCTCTCCCCTTCCTCCCTCCGCCACTCTGCTTCTGCTTATCCTGCCGCTGGTTAGGTGAATTGTCCAGGCCTTTTGCTCCCCCAGGGCTGCTACACGTAATAAAGAGAGGTACTGCCTCCCTTTACCACAGAGTGAGCAGCCAAGGCCTTGGAAGGTCTTCTGTCTTAGAGTCCTGTGGGCTGGCTCGGTGACAGCAACTCTCTGGGCTATTCTCTCTCTGGTCGCTGCTGTCAGACTTAAGCTTCAAGAGAGAAGGGGACACTTACAATGCCTGTTTCCCAATTATGATCTCATTTGAAGGCATTGACCGGATTGTGTGCTAAATGCTTTGCCTCAGCAGAGAGAGCTTGGAGAAGGGTTGAGTCATGTGAAAACCCTAGTGGCAGCAACCTAATTTCGAGTCCTGGGGCTTAGGGGAAATTAGCCAGGCTTTGTAGGGCTTGCCTTACAAGCTTAAACCCACTGGCTGTGAGCAAATGCCGCAATAACCTTAATTGTCAAAAAGCGTTGGACTGCACAGTAAAAATTAATTTGCATGTTTGTCATGCAAAATACATAAAAATTGAGAAGAAGAAAGTATTTAAAAAATTTTTTTAATGTTTTTTAAAATTTATTTCTGAGAGAGAGAGAGAGAATGCACGCAAGTGAGCAGAGGAGGGTCAGAGAGAGAGGGAGACATAGAATCCGGAGCAGCCTCCAGGCTCTGAGCTGGCAGTCAGCACAGAGCCCGACACGGGGCTCGAGCCCACGAACCGCGAGATCATGACCTGAGCCGAAGTCAGACACTCAACCGACTGAGCCACCCAGGCACCCTGAGAAGAAAGTCTCCTAGTAACATTTCAACTCAAATATTTTGAGACCAGTTTTCGGTTGCGACTGATACATCCTGTGAGTCAGGGAGGAAGAGAACAGTGATGATACCATGGGAGTGACAGTGGTTGGTTGTCACTACTCCTGTGGTGGGTGCTCCCCTGTCCGCTCTCAGAAGAGTGATTTTAAAAATCATTTAGGTTTCAATTTGGAGTGAGTTTTCATACTTCTGCTTGAATACGGGGCCCGTCAGAGCATCTGAGCATTCCCTTAGGACAACTTAAGGAACCAAGTTTGTGGAGAACTGGAAAGCCGCCCTCTCTCTCTAGACTGCCCTCCTGCAATGGTAACTCCTGGGGGAATAAAGGGCCCTTTTCCAGAATGATTCAAATCTGGAAAGCGAGGCATGCCCCCTCTAGTTTTTCCTATAGAGGAGATTATAGAGACTGTGCTTCCTACCGCTCTACCTCATGCAAAGAAAATGCAGCTGCAGTAAATCGACCACAACTTTTTTCTTTTTTGTATCAGAACAAAAATGCTCACGCAAGAAGTGTGGACCATAAAGTCATAGTAAAGGCCATAGTTCAGTTTCATTTCTGAGTTTGTGACCTGGTTGAGGATCTGACCTGCCAAATAGCAGGCAACAATCCATTGCAGTTTATAATAATGATTTATGTTAGTACGGATGGCTAAGGCTGTGAGAGATGAGGAGAACTGGAAAAATCAGAGTAAAATTTGGAAAGAAGGGAAGACTTTGGCAGGGCCTCGACAGCTAGACAGGAAAAGGAGGATGTCCCAGCTGAGCAGAATGAGAGCATTATGCACCAACATGGTGGCATGAAGGTCTTGGTGGTGGGTGAGGGGGGGGCAGTGGTGCATAAGTGGCTAGGGTTCTCCCATAGACAGCGGGCCAAAGGTTTACAAAACAAGCTTCTCAATGCGGAAGGTGTGAATAGTCCATAAGGTTAAGAACAAGAGGACCCTGCCATGAAAGAGAAAGTGGCAAATCCGACCACCATTCGCTGGGATTCAATCATAGTTAACACGCATTGGACTGTGAGGAAGTCTGCTTCTTGGAACATTCAGCGCATATTCAGACTGAAAAGTCCTTCTGATGTTTTCAGCTGATGAGCAAACTGGATTTTGCACAATGGACTTGATTTGCTATACAGTCACTATTGTCATTAAGATGACCCCCAAAAGAAACTAAACATTGACATATTCATGAATTATTTAAAATTTTGGACTCTATTTGGTAGGTATTCTGGGCCCAAAGAACATAGAAGTAATGGAAATGAGAAGCATTAGGGTTTGAAATGTCTGCTTGCTTCTGAAAGCCTAAGGTGACTGATAAATGAAGGACAAGGAGAACGTGGTGAGTTAAGAGGTATTTACTGTGGGGGCCCCTGGGTGGCTCAGTCAGTTAAGCGTCCGACTTTGGCTCAGGTCATGAACACACAGTTCATGGGTTCGGGCCTCGTGTTGGGCTCTTGTGCTGACTGCTAGCTCAGAACCTGGAGCCTGCTTCAGATTCTGTATCTCCCTCTTTCTTTGATCCTCCCCTGCTCATGCTTTCTCTCTCTCTCTCTCTCTCTCTCTCTCTCTCAGAAATAAATAAAATGTTAAAAAAAAGAGGTGTCGACTGTGGTAGAACCCCACAGGATCTACACTTCCATCAAGCTAATCACCAATGTTCCCTTGCAGGATGTGAAATGACCAGAAGTTCTCTATCTCTCTACAATACAGCATATCTGTTGCTTGTTGTCATGCTTCAAGTTCAAAAAGTTTCAGCTCATGGGTAGGAACAGGCAGATATGCGCCTCCGATAGCCCCCAGATAAACAGGGAACTGAGCCCTAAAGAAGGAAGCCCTGAGGGCAGATGCAATGCATGTCTTAGGCAGAAATCAAGTCAGCAAACCAGTATTTGATCTAAAGCAACTCGGAAAAAGAGGAGAAAACCTCAGTATATGCAAATATCAGACAATGGGGCTTCACAGCAGATGAGTTCCACTCTTTGTAAGAAAAGTAAGTAAGCCGTTGGAGGAAGTTAGCGAATCTCCTTTCGTAAATATCAAGGAATTTTTAATATGGTATTTATTTAGAGACAAAGAAATGGGAATAATTAGCCCTTTTTGTTGGTTTCCTTTAAACTTCTGCCCCCAAATATCTTTGTGAGACAGTAATTTTTAATATTACTGGGGAAATGGAAAAGCCCAAAGTGATCAAGTAAAAACTTTACAAGTGAGTAATAACAGGAAGAAAAGAAAATGCTTTGACACATACTGAGACTCTTGACTGCAAACAACAAAGGTTCTATTGGTTTCCTTGGAGAAACTGGAGGTTTATCAGGAGAACGCATGTGGACCGGAAGCAGATGCTGAAGCTTCTAGGAAGAATGGCAGTTCCGGGTCCCACTCTTGTCCCATATCTATCTTTCTGTAGGCCCACCCGACTCACCCCCCTTCTCTCCCCTGACCACGTTCTTGGCTTCCTTATAGTCTCTGCTCCCTCAGCCAGTGTACATATGGCATTATGGCTCTTGGGCCCCTCTCTAATTGGGGCCCTTCCCTTTGATCTCTCTCCTAACTAATGAACACATTCTTGCTGTCCATTCAATCCTCAGGAGACTGAATGTGACTGGTCCTG